CCATTTTAGATCGACAAACTGTACTGTATAAGATTTCTATTCAAACTGAAAGCATAAATCTAGGCTATCAGCTGCCATCTTTTCAAAGCACAATGCAAAACTGTGACATTTCATTCACTGACGCTCTACAATCGGCAGCGCTAAACCCGGAAGCGCATATACTTACTTTACCGGCAACCCGCCAAAATAAAAGCCTGCTGATTTTAAGTTCGAAAATGATGAAAATTAAAAAAAAGTAGTAAATATTAACATTTTATTTTTAAGTTTACTATAAAGTAATTGTATTTGTATTTAATACTTCCCTTTAATTTTAAAATATAATAGTATTATCACACTTTATTATTTTATTTAAAAAAAACACTAAATAAATAAAGTGCAATATTACTATCAGTCTTATTGATTTATTTTTTTAATAGTTATATTTAATGGGTAACAGTATGTGCAGTGTGAGGACTAAAACCAAATCTCCAGGTTCTCATATGAGAACCAGGCTGAAAAACTTATGTGCACCCCTGTCTATATCTATATTTATATCTACCAGGAAACAATGATGTTAATAATGTGATCCTGTGGCTCAGTGGTAGAGCATTACGTAAGCAGCGCAAAACATCGTGGATTCGATTCCCAGGGAACACACATACTGGTAAAAAAATGTATAGCCTGAATGCACTGTAAGTCGCTTTGGATAAAAGTGTCTGCTAAATGCATTAATTATTATTATTAATTATTATTATTATTATTAATAATAATAAGTTCCCAGACTGCTACAATGAGAAACGCTTCTTTTTTTTCAGAGAATTAATGCACTTGTGCATATATGATGTATGACATCCTTGTGCAACTATATATTGTGATTGATCATTATATTATGAATGTGGCATCAGATTTCAGATACTTGGTCACCTTACATGTCACTCAGACAGTCTCTTGCTGTTGAAGGGGTCAGTTTTTGCTCAGAATAATCTGCAGTGGACACAAACTATCACTGGTTTCTCACGACTCACCGTCTCATCAGCCGAGCAGGTCGCCAGCAGATAGTCATCAAATGGCGAGAAGTCCAGGTCGGTCACGAGGTCTGGGACAGGAAGATCAGGAAGAGAATCAGGACAAACTCGTACATTACGTACACAGGACACAGCATCGGGACAGCACTTTTATTTGCTCCAAGCATCCTCACAGACATCAACTTCCGCTTCAAATGAAGTTAAATGAGACAAGTGTGTTAGTAAGACCTGTAATTGTTGGTATCTTACCAGCATGGCATGAAATCTGGGTCACGGTCCACTTCCCGTCAGATGCGGCGTTCACAGAAGACAGGCCGACCATCCCACCTCCTCCAGAGACACAACAGACACGGTTACATCTAAAAACACAGCTTACAAAACGCAACACAGACTGCTTCTCCTGGTGTTTATGTTTGGTGTGTGCACATGTTATCAGAGGTGCTCAGATGTTCAGTGCTGATAGTGAAGAACAGTGTTCATACCAGCCTGATCTGTGTTGAAGGCCACGAGACTGCAGCTGGATTTGATGTGCTTGCCCTGAGAAGAGAAGGAAGCTCCTCGCACGTTCGCAATCCAGCCCTGCACAGAAACACAGGAGCATTGCTAAATCAAGTGTGATCTTAAAATGAAGACAAATCTCGCATTTGGTTCTACAGGAAAACATGAGAAATATTCAACATACCAGACAAATCTACATATGTCATCTCTGAACACCTCACTTAAGTCACTAAATAATAAAACCATAAAAATTTACAATCAAAATAATTCATTTTAAAGTAAAAACATCCTGAAAATTCAAATAATTTTAAAATAAAAACAAAAATCATTAAAATGTTAAATAAAATTATTTTAAAAATAAAAACAAAATAAAATAAGTAATTTTAAAGAAAAAAAACTTACTAAAAAGTAAAATTATTAGTAAATTTAAAATAAATTTTAAAATAAAAACAATAAAATAAGTAATTTTAAAATAAACTTACTAACTATCTAAATCATAAAATGTTCTGTAATTTTTCTTTAAATTAAAATTGACTAAAAAGTCAAATCAAATGTAAAACCGTTAAACTAATAATGAAAATATAACAAAAATAAAGCATAATGTAAAATTAAAATAAAATACTACTTTTAAAATGAAAACTTACTCAAATCAAAATCATAATGTAGAATTAAAATGAGTAATTATTTAAAATAAAAATCATTAAAGCATACCGCTAAAACTAAAGCATAAAGTAAAATTAAAGTAAATAACTAATTTTAAAATTTTTTGCTAAACAAAGAAAACAATGTTGTTATTGTTGACTAAAACTATTAAAAATAGGTCGACAGACTGAGACAGACATGAAATGAAATTACTCAAATTAAGATAAACATAAATTAAAGCTAAATAGAAAAATGAAAAAAATAATAAAAATGACAAAAAGCTAAATTCCTAAAACTTAAACTAAAATAAATGAATGCTAAACATACATTTTAAAAACCTAATAAAAATGACAAAAGCACATACAATTAATAAAACTTTAAATTAAAATAAATATAAATGAATGCTAAATATAAAAGTTATAATGAAAACTTACTCAAATCAAAATCATAATGTAGAATTAAAATTAGTAATTATTTAAAATAAAAATCATTAAAGCATACCGCTAAAACTAAAGCATAAAGTAAAATTAAAGTAAATAACTAATTTTAAAATTTTTTGCTAAACAAAGAAAACAATGTTGTTATTGTTGACTAAAACTATTAAAAATAGGTCGACAGACTGAGACAGACATGAAATGAAATTACTCAAATTAAGATAAACATAAATTAAAGCTAAATAGAAAAATGAAAAAACTAATAAAAATGACAAAAAGCTAAATTCCTAAAACTTAAACTAAAATAAATATAAACGAATGCTAAACATAAATTTTAAAAACCTAATAAAAATGACAAAAGCACATACAATTAATAAAACTTTAAACTAAAATAAATATAAATTAATGCTAAATATAAAAGTTATAAAGTATATAAACCTAATAAAAATGCCTAAATGCACGACAAAAATTACCAAAATTAAAATAAATATAAATGAAGGCTAAATATAAATATATATAAATAAATATATAAATGCCAAACCTCTCATGGCAGCATCATCAGCTTGAGATCGTTTTTTTGAGATCGGCCTTTTTAGAGACTGCCGATCAATCATCCCAACGTGATTATCGGCCGATAGTGATCGATAGCCGATCAATCGGAGCACCCCTAATATATATATATATATATAAACTACAAAAGCATAACAGTAATTTAACTGAAAATATTAAAAAAAGCTATCTCAAAATATTAATAAAAACTTAATAAAAAAGGCCAAGCACGCAGGTGATGGAGATTTACCGCTGATTACAGAAGCGGCTTGACTGACAAGATGCGCATTAAATATCGCATGCGATTTATCGTGCAGCCCTAACTGGAACACCCCAAAAGATGACACTGATGAACTGAATCAACCTCTGATGCCTCTCAACTGAACATCTGACATCATCACAAACAGGAAAGAGGAAACGGATAGAAACACAGCACTTTCTCTACACAACAGTGCAACACACACACACACACACACACACACAGACACAGACGGGGCCTTTCACAAGCAGCACACACACACTTGAGGAAACACAGAAGAGCAGCCGAACAGTTTCAAATCCTCCCAGAATGTCAACAAGAAACAACACGCAGAGAATGATGGTGTTTGAGTGACTGCTGTAGAATAACCATCACAATCCACAGAAGCTGGAGCAGACTGAAGACAGTGTGTGAGAAAGCCTAAAGCACGCACGCCAGGCGCATTCGGGACTGAGCTCTTCTGCATTACACACAATCATGCTCACTCCTACACCATGAGGCGACAAGCCAAAGATATAAATAAAAGATGAAAATAAGGCCTTCTGGCTTCTTAAAAAGCACAGAGAATCTGCATTTGAAACCCTAAACCTGAAGTCCAGACCCAAACCATCCAAAACCAGTTCTAACAAAGTTTTCACCTGCTGAACGATAAAACTGTCGAAAAAGTTTGGAATAATTAAGTTTTTTTTTTATGCTTTTGAAAGAAGTATCTTCTGCTCACCACGGCTGCATTTATTTAAATAAAAATGCAGTAAAAACAGTAAAATTGTGACATGTTATTACAATTTAAAAGAACAGTTTTCTGATTGAATATATGTTTAAATGTAATTTATTCCTGTGATGTAAAGCATTATTTCAGCATCATTACTCCAGTCTTCAGTGTCACATGATCCTTCAGAAATCAGTATAATATGCTGATTTGCTGCTCAAGAAACATTTACTATTATTATCAATGTTGAAACAGTTGTGTCCCATCATATTTTTGTGGAAACCATTGAAATATATATATATATATATA